AAAAATATCCATTCTGCATTAGGAGTACTTTTGCTTTTGAAACTTGAACAACATTTACTTTATCTTCTACTTACAACTTCTGCGAACACTGCTTTAGTTTACAGTAAATGTACTCAAAGTCAAACTAGTCAATGAGAAAAAAAATTCCCTGTTAGTGTTTTACTGTTATATAAATTGTTCTGGATTAATGGAGGAATCACAATTTCACTGCTGCAGATGATTAATGTTGTGCTTATTGAAATACTTGACATGGGCCTACTATTGGATAATGAAGTCTACAGCAATCCATCATATTATATTAATTAACTTTGGGATAATGCATATTCCAAGTGATCTAATTAGGTTTTTAAATGGCTTATTTTTGGGGGAATTAATTTAGTTTAAAGGATAATCATCCTGCGTCCAGTTTATAAAAACACTTCAGATCAAAAGGACCATATTTGGAGAGAAGTGGTTTTCACTGGACATTTCATGGACTGTCTTTTGTTGAGTGAAAAGTACAATATCTGCATATTGCATTCCCTAAAATGGAAATGCATTTGTACAAAAAGAGGGATATGTATTTTCTGCGGGTGTGTTTGGATAGGTGGATCGTGTTATGGCCATATCCAAGACGTTCTTCCTGCAGCCAGATGAGGAGAAACAACCCTTCAGCAGGAAAAGCTTTGCTGGAAGTCCTAACCACGGCTGGGTGTCCTTTGGGATTGAGAGGTAGGAATCAGGAAATTAAGCAACACACTTTCTATACTTCACAGTAAATAAAACAATACACCTGTTTTTCAGGTTGAATCCAAGCCGCCCTGGAGACCTAAAGGAAGCATTCAACATTACTTCACTTCAGCCTGACATTGTAACGACTCACTGTCAAATATTAACATTTTTCAAAGATTACATCAGGACCATTTTTATGATCACTAACCCAGACAAGATCCCACTTTGTGGTCTATTCGTCTGGAGGTCAAAGTATACGTTTGCTTTTATACATGTTTGATTAACAAGAAAAAGGTTTGTTTTATTGCTGCCAGATAAAAATAAATATCTTCCAATAATATAACCCAATATTCAGTTATCAAGAAAATGTTATATCAGAATGTTCAGAAGGGAAACAGGAACAAAAATGCCATATGTTTGAAATAATGTAGACTAGGGATGGGTATCGTTAGGATTTTATCGATACCGGTACCGGTACTGCTTATCGGTATCGGTATTTTTCGATACTCTTATCGATACTTTTCAATAATTTGGTGCTCAAAATTATAGACATGAATACAAGATGTGAAGATTAAACAGTAATTGTATTGTAATTGCAGAAATAACTGTATAACTTATACATTAGCTTCTCAGAAGCAGACACAAATCAATAAAATAACTTAAAGGGGCCTGGCTCGCCCTATCATGCTTTTTGGGGTTTTCCCTCAGACAGAGGATGAATTATTTTTTAACATTTCTAAATCAGTTACACCTTCATCCAGACATTTCAAACTGACAACCTAGCTCGACAAGAAATCCTTAAAACATTGTCCTACAGTGACTTAATGCAAAACTGTGATATGAAGAAATTGGTCAAAAGGCTAAGATGGCAAAAAGATAAAGGCGAGTACGTATATTATTCTGGATTGTACTTTTAAATCATCACAAAATAAATGATATGCTGAACTGAAACACGTCAAAATGTGTCTGAAGGTTTAAACATAGAACAAAGTATTTGAGCTTAAAATATGTCAATTCCTAGTAAACGACCAACAATTGCTGAACCATACATTGAAACGTTGACAAGCACCGTCTGTCCAGCGGCTTAACGGTATACCGATACCGTCCAATCAGGTACCGGTATTGACTTAGTACCGGTTCTCGGTACCCATCCCTAATGTAGACACAGTTTTCCTATTGCATGTTCAGAAGAGAGCAGAATTTAGTACATGTTCACCCATTCAGGACCTTTACAATCTACAAGGAGAGTAATCCTGTAAATATGTAGCTTCTTTCTTAAGTGGCCTGCTCAACTCATATGTATTTCTCCATCAGAACTGCACTAAATAGATTTTCTAACTTACAAATATCAGTACGGGTGTTGGCCTCTGAAATCTAGCATCAGTCCGGCTCTAATTGAACTCTCTCCTGCTGCAGAAATGGCCATCAGGAGCTGTGAAAGGCTTCAGGGAGATCCAGACGTGTTTCTTCCAGCGCTGCAAAGAGCTGAGTCTGCGGGTGCTGAAGGTGATGGCTTTCAGTCTGGGTCTGGACCCCGAGGTGTTCCTCAGTGCGCATCGATTCATAGGAGGTGTGTACGCTCACTGCTCTCACTAAAGACTGTTATATTGTTACTGGGGTTCAAGCTGAAGAAGTCGATGGTTATCGATCAGATAAATGGCTCCCAGCAGTTATATAAGAGTCCATGCAAATAAACAAAGTGTTATCAGAGTTGTCACGCTGATCCAGTCAAAGTCAACTTTATTGTCAACCTTTCAGTTTGTGTGTACAGACAGAGAGATCGAAATACCGTTGTATTCGGGATTGTGGGAAACGGTACTTCGATCTCTCTGTCTGTACACACAAACTGAAAGATTGACAATAAAGTTGACTTTGACTTTGACTGTCATGAGATGCACAAGGATGTATTTATGTAACATCATATAGACTTGCAGAGTTGGAAAACCCCGTAATGTAAAACAACTTCAACAAACCACAAACTACAATGCAAATAAAAATGGAAAAATCTTATTTTTTCTGAATGCGATAACTACCAACGACCTGTGTATTGATGTCTGACACTGGGAAATATAAAACCTTGACATTAGAGCTCTGAGTGTAAGGCCCGATGTTAACTGTTGTGATACGACTGCACCAGGCAGGCTTGAACACTGTTGTTGTTGTTTCTCCTCCAGAGGAAGGGAATTGTTCCACCCTGCGTACTCTGTACTACCCTCCAGTGAAGCATGAGGAGGTGAAGGAGGGTCAGCTGAGGTGTGGAGAACATTCAGACTACGGCTCCATCACCCTGCTGTTCAAAAGCTCTGTGGGTCTGCAGGTAACACCGGCTCCACCTGTCTGCATGCAAGAGAAATTACCAATTACAATTGCCTCTTTGTCTCTTGAATTGAGATTTACATTTGTTTCTATTAAAGAGGCCCTTGTATGCTCTTTGGGGTTTTCCCTCTCCTGTAGTGTGTTGTATAGGTTTCTATTAGAAGTGCCTGAAATGCCTCCGTTGGATGCCTTTGTTTAGTTCCTTAACATAGTGACATCACTTTGTAACACTCACGCTTCTATTGGCTAGCGCTCCAACACATTGTACTTGATGTGTTAAGGGGCGGGACATTTTTTAAGTGGTTGTCCAATCACAACAGAGCCGGCCAGCTAACCAATCAGAGCAGACTGGGCTCTGATTTCAGACAGAGGGGGAAAAGAGGTGCTGCAGCACAGGCAGTATGAGAAAAAT